CTCCATATCTGATAGCTGACGTGGAGGGAGGATGGGCGCCCTGTTATGATCTGCACAGTAATTATGTCAGAGGACGTCAGCGGGAACATGCATTGCTGAGGTGGCAATAGAGGAGAAGCCCGAAGTGAAAGTGGGAGAGAAAGAGAGACATATATGTACTCTTGATTATCATAGCCACTCTCCTCCTCCTCTGCTGTGTCCTTCTCTCCTCTCTCTATCCTCTCATGCTCTTCTTTGATGAGACGACACTCTTGACTTATGCATATGATTGAGACATGGACCTGTAAAAGAGCAAGAAAGACTCAGGGAGTTCTGGCTGTGAGGCGAGAGCGCTCGGCGAGCCGACCGGCGGGGCCCGGTCGCACCTCTGTCGAACTGGTGTTGGCATGGACAGGTGCCAACAACGCCGTCATTGGAGCTGACGACGTATGGGCCATCCCCCTGACGGCGATAGCCTATGTACGGTAGGCTGTAAGGCGAGACCCAGAGGGGTCAGGTCAAGGAGGGAGGGGCGACTCTTGCAATGTGCGCAGACAGAGGAAGGAAAGTGGCAGGCGAAGAGGGGTCAAACGGGGAGAGTGTGACAGGAAAAGGTAGAGTCAAAGGAGTGGAAGGTCATCGAAAAATGGGGGGAACGCTGGGGACGAAGATAACGATTGCGGCCATAGCAAAAGTGACAGAAGATGGAGGTGGAGGGTGTGAAAGGATAAGGTGAAAGGACAAGGTGGGGCCAAAGGAGAACGGGGTCATAGGCGTAAACAAGGAAAACGGCAGGGCAGAAGCTAAGGACACGAGGATCGCACAAAGGAAGAAAGACCATGAAAGAGAGGAGGCAAGAGCGTAAGAGGTGAATGATAGAGGCGAGACGCGTACAAAAGAAGTGAGGGTAAGACAACGGTGATCACAATAGGGGAGGGGCGTCTCGAAGGTCGACGGGAAAAGCTCCAAATGCGTGGAGGGGCGGGAGCGAGTGAAGAAGAGGGAATTTAGCGCAAAGAGGAGGGAGTCAAGAGCGTTAGAGGTGAATGATAGAGGCGAGACGTGTACAAAAGAAGCGTGGGCAAGACAAAGGCGATCACAATAGGGGGTGGGGGGGGAGGGGGGGGGTCTCGAAGGTCGACGGGAAAAGCTCCAACCGAGTGGATGGGATGGAGTGAGTGAAGAAGAGGGAATCAAGCGCAAAGAGGAGGAGACGGTACAGCGAGAGGGCAGAAGCCCAGTCAAGAAAGAAGACAGCGGAAGACAAGAGTGAGTCAGTGCAGCCATCAATGTTAATAGTGCATCACAGTGAAAAAAAGGGGAGGAGGATCCCCTGTTTCTCCCCCCTGGTAAGTCAGACAGGTTGAAGCTCCCGCATCCTTGATTCCCGCCCGTCACGATACCCACCCTCAATCCCCTGGAATCACACCCCCCTATGTGACAAGAGCACCGCCCGGGTTGGGATCGATCATACATGCCCACTCAAAACGTCTGATCCTCACAACACGAACCCACGGTCAAGACTGATCGTACACGGAAAAAGAACAGCGAACGACCTCACTGCGCTCCAGACCTGCCTCTATAGACGTAAATAACGGGGTAGAGTATACACCTCCCCTACCCACTCCTGCCAATCAAACGCGAGCTTCCTTTACTTTGTGGGTATATTAATGTCAAAAGTGAACATACACATATACAGGCATAAAAAATAACAAAAATACAAAACATACAAAAGACACGACGACGGGTGTGGATCGAAATACATCTCTTGATCTACGGTAGTCAAAATTTGGCTTGTTGTCAAGTGTGGAAAACGGGATCATGGGAAAAAGAGGGCAACAGGGGATGGGGCTCCCCTTCCACAGAAAACAAGGAATGCATCCTTCACTTCAATGGGTGCAGGTTGGTCGTAATAAATGGGGACAACACAACCATACAGCCACCACATGGTGTCAGGTAGGGTTGGATACACAGGCACGCAGAAACAATAAAAACGGGGGGACATACAGTCAGGGGACTGGAGGAGTGTTGGCTTTGATGGGCTCCATTAGACCACCAGATGTACCTGCACCGAAAGCGAAGAAGTCGATCCCTGGGGATCAGACACACCCTATGAATCCCCCCCTCCAGGCTCAGGCACACATGGGGAAAAGTCAACCGGTTAAAAGAACCTGGGTGTCCGTGCTCAAACAAGCGGCTCCAGGAGCACAGACTGCCCAAGAGAACGTAATCAATAAACCCCCAACAGCCCATCCCTCATATCGCTACTGGCCCCAGTGCCTCAGCGACCTGCTGCTGACCTGATGTCACTGAGCCCTATTCACCCCACGCGAAGCCACTTCATCAGAAACTCCATGTTCAACCGGAGAAGCTGTACCAGGAGCATGACGGCTATGTATGTCCACTCTACAGGTTCCCCCCTCACGCAGTGGCAACAAGAAACAAGGTCTACTCATCCCACGCTGTCCAATTTCACTTCCAGGAACAACAGGCGACAGTGGCAATGAATGATAGGATAAAATGGATATCTACCATAGTTGAGTCCTTTAAGTTCTCTGCACAAGATGTGGCGGACCACTTCCTGATTGAATCAGCAGGGATATCCACAATCACCGTGATAGCCCTGTATCCACGAGACCTCACCCATCTCATGGGACTGAAAAACCTCACATTCAGAGGACAATCAGTGCATGTATAGAGATGGCAACCAGGCGAGCCCCTCACACCAGACGAACGCAGACAGCAAATCATGGATACTAACTTCTGGGTGGAGTTCAGATATGCCCCGCTCGCAATCCAAGGGGCTATAATCCAAGACGTGCAATCGATGGCTCCGGTAAAAGGGTTTGTTCATGACCTTCCATCGTTTCTGGAGAAAAGAGATGATACTCTGTTGGTGGCAATAGATTGGGACGACTCGAGGACCTTCCCCATTTTCGACTCCTGGGACTACATCTACGGCGGTAAGACCGTCTCGGTCCCGGTTAGCCATAGCCAGAATCCGTGGTGCTATGCGTGCAAAGAAAAGGGACACCTTTGCACAGATTCCCAATGCCCGAAAACAAGAAAAAAATCTGTCAGAGGGATAGTGGCTCCCCACCCTCACGAAGCACAGGCATGGGTGTCGACCGACCAAGCGCTGTCTGGATGGGTTTTCGCTCTCCAAGAGTCAGAAAAACCGGGTTATTGGGTCTGGAAAGGAAAAGGAAAACCACAAAGGACACCGCACACGTTGGCCCAGGTAGTAACAAACCCGCGTCAAGGTCCAGAACAGAAAGGAGCCTCCGCTGAATCTGACCGTCAAAGTCAGCTGGAGGGGCTGACGCGCCAGACACACCATGACCTGTCGCGAGAGACTCAATCGCAGAGCAAGGACCAGAGAGAAGAAGAAGAAGAGGATCAAGAGGATTCCCCCTTGCGAAGGAGAAGTCGAAAGGAACAGGGCAAGAAAGGATTTAACCAGAACAATGGAGAGAACAGGGGGGAAAACAGGGGAACAGACTCAACACCTGATGGAGAGAAGGGTACCCATCGGGAGAATCGCGAACAGACTACTACTTATTCGGACCTGCTGCAGGGAGGCCGGGTCGTTCTGGATACCTTGGCTCCCCGGCCAGTAACAGAGACAGAAAAAAAGTCAATTATACAGGCAATTCCAAAAGTGGCGGAGGGGTTAGAGGTCACAAAATTTGCTGCGGAGGACCCGATAGGGATAACGGACAAGGAATCTCAAAAGGAGAAGGAAAGGCAGCAGATTCCACCCGAACCCCCTCTCCAAGTACTGGGCACAAAAACAAAAGAATCGGAGGTGTTGCAAGCCACAGTAGACGACCTGCACGCAGCCGAGGACAGGGAGAACCCACAAGACTTGCCTCCACAGGCGGCAGTTCAGATAGAGGGGAACAAAGCTAGAGAATTACAAAGCATGATGGTGGGCCTGGCGGCAAGTGGACTCTCACATCCGCCGCAAGTGGAGAGGGAGAGACTGCAAGTTCCACCCAAACCCCATGTCCAGCCTGAGAAACCGCCGCAAGTGGAGAGGGAGAGATGGCAAGATCCACCCAACCTCTATGCCCAGCCTGAGAAATGGGCAATACGAACTGTGGGGACAGATCCGCAAGGGGAGCTACTGGTACAGACAATGGAGGGGGGGTCAAGGGAACTGCAAACCATTGGGGCGGGCCGGCAAGAAGCGGAGGTCCCACACCCGCAACCGGAGAAGGTGAGACTGCAACATGGGGAAGAGGACAAAAGACAAGATTCGCTCGATTCCCCAATACAGCCTGAGGAGTTGGCAACAGAGAAAGAGGTGGATAGTGTACAAGGCCTTCCTGCTGCTTCTACACAGCATGATGAGGATCAGACATGGAATCCTGCACAAGGTCTGTCTGTTGCTTCTGCACAGCATGCTGTGGATCAGGGACAGAATCCGCCCCCCCCCAACCTGGTAAAAGGAGGCCAAACAACACAATCCAAAATTAGGAAAAAGAAAATGAAAGCCTCTAGATCGCATACAGATACGAGACCTGTGCCGGAACAACAGCGTCCTATACAGCAGACAGAGGTGGGAAAGCAGAAAACTCATGCCATTGTGGTTGGCCTGCCTGCTGGGGCCACGGGCTGTTAACGGAACAACAGCTGCCCATACAGCCGACACAGGAGGAAATGCTGGAAACTCAGGCCAGTGTGCTTGGCCTCCCTATTTGGGGCCACAGGCTGCCAACAGAAAACGGAGAAACGACCTCAGTAAGAGGCATGGCAAGGCTGGAAGTGTGCCAATCGGATTAGGCACGGAATCCGCCACAAGGTATGTCTGCTGCTCCTGTACAGCATGCTGCGGATCAGGGACGGAATCCAGCCTCCCCCAACCTGGTAAAAGGAGGCCAAACAACACAAACCAAAATTAGGAAAACGAAAATGAAAACCTCTAGATCGCAGAGAGATTCGACACCTGTGCCGGAACAACAGCTGCCCACACAGCAGACAGAGCAGGAAACTCATGCCATTGTGGTTGGCCTGCCTACTGGGGGCCACGGGCTGCCAACGGAACAACAGCTGCCCATACAGCCGACAGAGGAGGAAATGCTGGAAACTCAGGCCAGTGTGGGCTATGGGCTGCCAACGGAAAACGGAGAAACGAACTCAATAAGAGTCACGGCAGGGTTGGAAGCGTGCCAATCACATCCCGGAGAGATCTCAGCAGGAAAGACAGGAACGAGTCTATATTTCAAAAACAAAGAAGAAGCGATTCCTACGAAGTTGTCGGACCAGGACGGTAAAGACCCTGAGAACGACACATCCGTCTGGACAAACCAGTCACCAAATTCGGGCACAGGCATGCAATATGTGACACCTGCGGATCCACCAATCCAGGATAACACAAACCCGGCCAACAACACACCAGCCAGGACTGACCAGTTATCACATCACATCACGGGTGCACAAAGCACGACACCTGTGGTCCTAGCGGACCAGGTTAACACAGATTCATTGGTAGGCACACCACCCATGGCCTACCATCCGATAAACCGGATAGCCAAATCACTCTCAATCATTAAGAATCCGACAAAACACGGTCGCAGTCAGCCGAAAGGAATGAACAGGCTCCTTCGTTTCGACTACCTGCTATATATCACACAGGGAATAAGGAATATTCTTCCCACAGATAAACAATCGATGACCAATGCGGCTTCCTCCACTTCGCTGCCCCAAAGGATGAAGCAAACCATCACAAAATACGAAGGGAGGCAGTCACTAAGCATTGACCAGCAAGTGAAGACCTTGTCCACCTTACAGGATGGGAACCCGCCTGACGGGGCAGGGACAATAGGGACTGGTCAGGGGGAAGGGGGGTGTGCACACGACAATGGAAGGCAACAGCTCCCATACATTCTGAAAGGGGGGCCGCCCCACAACCCACAACAACAAGTCCTAATGCGAGTTGCACCAGCCAATGAAAGGGGACCGCAAAAGACTGCAGACCAAAAGGGGAGGGTCCTGACCAGTCCAGAGGTCAGGGTCCCGACTGTTGTTGCAGCAACAAAACAGTCCGCCCAAGGGGAGAGGGGTTGGGCAAAGGACATGAACTGTCAAATCGAAAGAACAGTCGGGACTGCCGTGTGCAACAGGCAGCAGATCCTGCATTCTCAGGCGGATGCCCCCTCGGCGCAGCTGTCAGGTGGCACACTGGGATACCAAACGCAAGAGGCTACCCGTAGAAACGAGTACAGAACACCGGAATACCAACAAATGCTCAAAGAACAGGAACAAGCTGAAGCAGACCTGTGAGAAGCAATAATACGGGGTGGAGCTAACCGAATGACCCACCCTCAGATGGATGTCACAATTCACGACATGTCCTCGGAGACAGATCAGGATTCGGACTACAATCCTGACTCCGAATCTGACGTAGGTATGACCGAAGCGGAGGAAAACGATCCCGCTCAAATGTATGGCTCCCAACACGCAGCCCTGACAAATGAGCAGCAAGCTCTGTTTCACCTCCTCGCAACACAACAAACGCAGGAGATGCAAGACCAACAGGAGAGATGGAGTCAGAACCACCTTCTGCAGCAGTTACTCGACGCCCAACACGGTACCCTAAAACAAAGAAAGGATTTGGGTCGGCTAGCATCGCAGGATGAACAGCCCACAATGCTGGAGGGATAATTTTGGCAAGCATATACACAAGGGTATTTTGCTCAACTCCCTCCCTTCCAAGGGAGAGCCCCCCCCCCCCCAGCATGACCAAGTTGCTCATCCACACCTCCACCACAATGGGGCAGTCCTGCAACAAGCCATGCAAACATCGGAAGCAGTATCAACGGTAAACTTGCACCCCCCCGAAGGGACTCAACCGGGACAGGACTACATCATGGGACAAGATGTGGCCTGTCTCTTATACACATCTAGATGTGTATAAGAGACAGCAATGGGGCAGTCCTGCAACAAGCCATGCAAACATCGGAAGCAGTATCAACGGTAAACTTGCACCCCCCCGAAGGGACTCAACCGGGACAGGACTACATCATGGGACAAGATGTGGCAGTCACACAGCAGAACGTGAGCACAGAAAGCGTGCATCCAACGATGGATCTGATCATGGAATCAGCCCACACAGATGGAATGAACACTGAGAATGAAAAAAGTACAGTATTGACGCGAGAGAAACATGTACGGTCGCACCTCAAGCTTCTCACAGACTGGATACTGCAGAACTCCCTTGCACCGACAGGTAGGTTCCTATATGAATTTATTCCACCACTGCAGTGAGAACAGATCCGTAGGAAGATCCTGGCGAAACGCGGACTCAAACAAGTAGTTAATCAATATCGCAGGATCGATGAGATAGACTGGGGACAAGTGGCCAAAGTAATCATCAAAATAGTCACCACACTGTTGGGGGAGCTCAATCATCGGATGGAGGCCAGCACATCCACTACGCAGATAATCACAACCGCGAATGAAAAAGAGAGGAAAAAGCCGTACACAAACAATGATTTGTTCTGGCCTGAGGTGCTGGTCAAAGACATTGGGGCCACCCTCCGATATGGCAGTCACGAAGGACAGATGGTTCAGGTCCTTCCCCCATTATCCATAGGATACCGTAGGGCCTGCTCACTCCTTCCACCATTGGATCGGGGATGGTAACAGAGTTATCACCGGTGGTAGCCCACGTGATAGATCTGCTCAAGGAAAAGGAAAGGGATAACAGACAACAAGACAGTCAGTCAGAGGACAGCACTCACTCGGAAGGGGAAGAGCTAAACATAGTATCCGTGTAGAAGGGGACGCAACTGAGAAACCTGTGAGCTGAACAAAACACAGATATGAACATGAATATGGACATGAACATTGTTTTATATCACCCTCCTCCTCCACCGCCCCCCTGCCCACCTCCCCCACAACCATGTGTACCACCTCCGGTTAGAAGGCCTCCGGACTGGGCACGAAAGATAGCCAATGTGGACCTGGACATTAGAGCAATAAACGTGAACGGGTTGGCACAGGCAACAGTGGAAAAAAAAGATGCGATTTGGACAATGTTGAAGACAGAAGGCACCAGAACATGGCCAGATGCAATATGTGTGCAAGAGACTCACTTAACACACTCACCAGGACACACAGCTAAAGGAAAATGGGTGTGGCCGTACACGTCCTTCTCAGCACCAGCCATATCCGGAGCATCCACAGGTACGACGATATGGCTCCCTCCCTCGTCCAGACTGATTCCTATACACTACGAATGTGATCGGCAAGAGGGGCATTGGGTGTTACTGAGGGCAAAATTGGGGGACGAAGAAATAGGCATTGTCAGCGTTTACGGCCCAAATGACCCACTACACAGAGTGCAGTTTCTCAACAGGCTGCAATAAGAACTGCCCTCAGGTTTGCCCCTTATTGTAGCAAGTGACTTTAACATAACCCCTGACCCACTGATGGATAGGACGTCCTCATCTGCGGGCCAAAACCAGGAACAAGCTTGTGAACGGTGGACACCAGATGTCGACATGCTCGCACAGTTCATGGCAACCTTACAGCTAAAGGACGCCTATAGAATCTTACACCCATCTAAACGTGCATACACCTGCGCTAAATCTAAAGGCACAGCCGGAAGATCAAACTCTAGAATTGACTTCTTTCTCATCTCTGACGAACTGATAGGGGCCCTGACAGTGGCTGACGTCATGGCATTTAGTGCTTGCAAATCTTTTGACCATAGGGGAATAGTGATGGGTTTGTCTTTTCAAACCCAGATACAGAAAGGGTTGAGCTTCTACAAATTTAATACAACGCTGCTCAAACTTCCAGCTCTCAAAACCCTGGTCCAAGAATTCTGGAATAGCTGGATGCCCACGCATGACAGCGCCGAATCAAAAGTACACTGGTTCAACGAAGGTGTAGCACAATTGAGAGACAAAATTAAAAATTCTCTATCTCCCATGCACGCAAACGCAAGGCGGTATTAGACAATCTTCTAAATGAACTAGAAAATTGGGACAAGGAACTACAATCAGCCCCCCTGGATGACATAGCCTACCAGAAGCTGCAAGAGGCAAGAGACCATCTACAATCCTACCTGGACGCCCAGGCAGAAGCATGGCGCATTCACGCACGAATAAGGAAACAAGACACGGACGGGACAATGGCAAAGACATTCTTCCGGAAGGCTAAAGCGAGAGCAAAGCAGGCGGCAATAGCATCGCTTCACTACCCCTTCGACCATTCTCTACCAAAAGCAAAGAATGCATACACTGTGGTGGACTATGCCGCACAGTTTTACCAGAAGTTGTACGCCTCGGAGGTGCATCGATGGGATCCACAGCATGTGGCAGAAACAAGACACATGATGCTCTAACACCTCCCAGCAAAGCTGTCATCACAACAAAGATAACACCTAGAAGAGCCATTAACTATAGGCGAACTGTTAGAGGCGCTGAAAGGGATGGACGACGAAAAGACCCCAGGATTAGACTCTTTTCCCAAAGAGTTTTGGCTCCAATATTGGAACATCTTTCAAGACAGCATCAAGATTTACGTAAACGCAGTCCAAAAGGAAGGAAGTTTCGGGGGTCTGATTAGTCAAGGAGTGACCACGCTCTTGTACAAAAAAGGAGATAAGGAAGATATCTGTAACTACCGGACGATTACGCTCCTTCCCCTTCCATATAAGATGGTCTCCAAAACCCTCACCAATCGAGTACTCCCGTTCATGAACCATCTCATATTCCAGGATCAGACTGGGTTCATGCCACAAAGAAACATACAAGATAATGTTTTTTTAGTTAATGAGACCATTAAGTACGCGAGGCAGTACCGTAAGGAAGCCGCAGTCTTGTTCATAGACTTCGAAAAAGCGTATGACCACGTGGATTGGGACTTCCTAGACTGTTGCCTCCTCAAAATGAACTTTGGGGACTGCTTCAGAGCGTGCGT